TGCATCTTTTAAAGTTTGAAGATTCTCCAACTTCAGTTTGTAAGTCTTTATTTCATGAGCCTGATCCTTGTGAAGCTTCTTTATGACCTCCAATGCCTTCGTATATCTGGTCATTAGTACATGCTCAAAAATTAACATATGAACTTGTGTCATCAATCAGTCAAACACCATTCAACTCAAGAATGGAGGAAATGGTGGGAATCAAAGACCAGAGAACAGGAATATGGGAAAAAACATTAAAGAACAAAAAAAAAGGCTTTTCCAATACATAGACAAATCATAGAGACAGTACCTTGTAGCAGAAAATATATCATCAAATTTCTTCTTTAATGTTGAAGGATCTTGCAATGGCCAGTTAGCTTCATCTTGGTGAACAAATATCACATTTTCCAGGATAGCCTTTGACACACCCATTAAAGCTGGAATTTCCCTATCCATATCTGCACACCTATAGCTGAGACAAACTTTCTGCAATTTTACAACAATAAAAATAATGATAACTGAAATTAAGAATGTCAAATATTTTAACCAAAAGCACACAGGTTAAATCACAACATATCATAGCCACTAATCCTTCAACGAGTATGCATGATCAACAGAACAAACAACCACCTCTCCGGTATAATGACAAACCGTGTGAGTAATAAATAAAAAATGACTAACCGTGCGAGTGATAAGTAAAAAAGTAAAAATAAAATGAAGTTCATGTTTATGTTCATGAATAAAGAATTTGCAACACCTCTCCGGTATGTGGATTTATAGTCTGAAGCACGCTCTCAATTGCTTTGTACTCCATTTTTGAAGCCTTTTGAGTAAGCTGGAAGGACCTTATACAAACCACATCCTTGCCCGCCGCTGTCTTAAACCGAAGTTTTATTTGCCCCTTTGTCTCTGTCTCTCCTGCAACCTGCACAAGGGTCCAACATGCAGAGAGACAAACTAGTAAGTTTTTGAAGGAAGTAAAACCCAAATCCTCCAGCAAATTGAGAAGCTACATGAACTGATAATATTGGCAAGCCCGCATATGGATAAACTAGGTTTTTGAACCTKATTGCATTGCTATGTTGAGGGGAAATTATGAAACCAATATTTCTTTAGCTGGCTTCCCTAGAAGGCACTCAAAATGAGTAAACAAAGATACTTGATGCTTTAAATCCATCCCCAATTCTATACACTCGAAGATGAGGTTGATTGAGATCTTGCTTTGTTTGCGATTAATAATTTAGAACTACTAAAATGAGTGTTCTGAAAAGTACACCTGAGCATGCTTACCAAAAATCCCCGCTAGGGCGCACGCCTCAGCGAATACCAAAAAGTTCGCGAATCAAAAGTGCAAGGCAGAATAGTGAAAAGTAGTCTTAAGGATCAAAAATCGACGCACCTTAGGATCGTGAATGAAACTGTGGCCAGACCTGGCGTTGGGAGGCAACTCGCCAGTGCAAGAGAGCTTCAAGCATTCAATTATGGTCTGGAAATAAAAAATAAAAAATCAAGGCACCGCCATTACAACAAAGTTAATGTTTCATCACTATATGAGGAAAGTAATCATAAAGCAAAAACCACAAACACCAATTACTAGAAGCTCAAAATGGAGTTTGAGAGGAAATTACAGTTTTCCCAGCACCATTAGGGCCAACGATCAGAGTTAATGGCTTGAAGAAGGTGATGACGTTCCTGTTTTCGGGGTCGAAACTCCGAATACCTTTAATCAGCATCTTGTCTACTGTACTCATCTTTCCTTCTCTCTGCTATTCGATTATTCTTTTCAAAACAACAGAGCAAGAAAATCCACAGGTGAGAATCACACGGGAAAGCTTCGCCGGTAAGCAATCGCAACCATGGCGGGAATGGAGTTTCACTCTCCCACTCTGAGACTCCACACGGTGGGGAATCGGTTCGGTTTTCAGAATGCTGCCACTGAAGAAAGTACTTCGGAAGAAGCTTGCAGAGTATCACTTCGTCGCCTCGTCGCCATGACTCAGCTCCGTAATTCCGACGCCATCGGAGAAAGAAATCGCCGGAGTTTTCAACGACGGACAGTCGCGGTAAGGAATTATATTATATATATATGGCGCGCGAGTCTGGCTTTGACTCTTTGACCATCGACACCTGTTAGTTCATGGGCCTGGGCTTCCAATTCGTAAACTTTTGGACCTGCCCGAATAACAACAAATTTAGGCCCGCAATTCAATTTAACGAATCAATCAAATGATATGCGAGCGATAGAAGACGAAAAATCGAACGGAAAAGTCGAAGTCGTTAGTTAAGCGGTATTCAGAGAGAGAGAGAGCCCAGTGGAGAAGATAAGAAAATGGAGGAAAAAAATTAGTTTGGGGCATAAAGTTGGATGGGTAATTTGAGACTTAATTTGAGAAGATAAAAGACTAAATGAAGACGAAAAATCTGATGAAAAAGTTTGATCAATGTCGATGAAAATGTAGAAGTCTCAATCATGGTTTTAAATATCTATCGACATGTCGATATTTTATCGACATATTCATGTTTATATGGATTCGACATTGACACGAGGAGTAAAACATTTAATCGACAAAATATAAAAATATCACTAATATATACATAATATCATTTTTTTTCTAACTTTTACAAAAATATATATCAATACCGACGTTTGATTGATATTTCCATGAAATTGAGACCTCAATATTTTTATCGACATCAACATTTAAAATCTTTGTCTCAATTTTATAGAAATATCGATAAAAGRTCGATGTCGATGGATATTTATGTAAAAGTTTGAAAAATTTTAAAATCGTAAAAAAATATTTAAATTAACAAATAAATATTTTTTTTTATTTCTAAATTAGTTAAAAATAACTAATATTAATATTATATATATTAGTGACATTTTGGTGATGTTTTTTATATTTTGTCGATTCAGCATTCAKGTCGATGTCTATGAAAACATGAATATGTCGATGTGTGGATATTTAGAACCATGTTTTAGCATCCCAAATCCGAAGGTGGGCTTATAGTTTGGGCAGATTCTCCGGTCCGTACTTTACTATGCGTTTCATCAAATGGGCTTTTATTTTTACCGATCATCTGGCCCATAACTGTTCTCACACTCCCACGTGGATCTCCTAGATGGGGCTGTAATTTGGGCCGATAATGCGGCCCATACTCTCCAGCAATCGCATAGGCCATTGCAAATAAAGTGCGAAAATGAAGTCAAATTTCCCTCCGGCCGGAAAATTCTGGTTCGATTGAACTGAAAATGGAATTCCCCGGTTGCAGCAGGAATGCCGGCGCTTCGCCGCCGCTCTCCGTCTCTTCCTCCTCCTTCTCGTCGCGTTCGTTCTCTGTCTCGGAGTTCGATCAGCCTTTTACAGAGCAACAACTTCAGGAAATCGATGCCATCGAAGCTATGTATCAATCCACCAGCGGCAAAAGACGACGAGGAAGTTCCACAGCCGACGAAAACGAGGCCTCGTGTGTTTCCCCCAACGCCGGCCGTCGATTGCCCCATTCCATTCTTTCTCTCCAGCTTCCTTATTCTTCTCCTCTATCGCCCCGTCGAGGTATTTTTTTCTAAATTCTATTTAACAAATTGGTTGCAGCAGATGATGCAGATTTGGGAAAGATTGCTTGGGGCTTTCAAACTACATTTTGAGGATCTACGGCTTATTTTGTGCTGAAATTGAAATTATGATTACATTGTTTATTGGTTTCATTTGCAGTAAATTCGAAGATGAGATTTCCTGCATTGAATTTTGATGGCCGAATTATTTACAGTACAACTGCGAGTGAGGTAGATAGAGCGTCCAGGGAGTTAGCCAAGAAAATCAGCTCCACGAGGAAAGGAACGGATCAAATTACTATCGGATTCGACATCGAGTGGAAACCCACATTTAGAAGAGGTGAGGGAACTTTGAAGTTTTATTTCTTGATCCAAAATAGTTTTTGTTATTCTCACCCGAATATAATGGCAGTTCTGTTTCTCATGGGAATCAAAATCGTAGTSTCTTTAAATTAACAAGAAACACTATTTTGCTTTCCTCCTTAATTTGTCCGTCTGTTCGTTGGGATTTTGTTATATTGAAGTTTTTCCCTAAGAAAATTTATGGCGGACGATAGAATTAATGTATGAAAATATTCATTTTACCATTGACTATATTGAATTACACACACCCATATTAGATTGAGCTTGTTGCTATGAATAGAGGAAGTCAAAGCTCAAATTAGTTCAAGCACAGTTATACAGCTAACTGTTAAGTTGTGAACTCTCTCAACCACACTTCGAATTAGTCAAGTTTCAGAATCTTAGTTGGGCCAATTAGTTGATTTAACACTTATGTTCTATAATGATTGGCTCGCACAACTTATTGTTAGCAGATGGTTAAATCGGTTAAGAAGTCAGTCCTTCTCAGAGAGTTAGACAGTGAATACTTATAAYTTGTTTTTGTAATGTTCCCGTTTGTTCTTTCTGTTTCTTCATCTTTAATAAAAAAAATAGAATGACATGACTTTAACACCTATAAATTCAAGAATGATAAAACAATATTTTAAAAATGAGAAACAACAAACCTAAATGGTTTRTCAAATGCTTGGAAACAAGAAACAAGAAATGAGAATATTACCAAACGGACCTTTAATTTCCCGATTCTTTTATATCTTTCTCTTTCCCTTCATATAGTTTGTTGTTTCATCTGGCTCTTGCGTAGACTTAAATCTTAGCTGGGTTGGTGGCTGTTAACTCGACCGAACTGGTGCTAATTACTTCTTCTATCATTCTTACAGCCTATTTAATTGGTCTTGGTCTCTTGGATTCCATAATGTCTCTGTCTTATTGACTCTTTTGTGATGAATTTTATATGCAGGTGTTCCACCCGGAAAGACAGCAGTCATGCAACTATGCTTGGACAATTCTCAATGCCATGTGATGCATATCATTCATTCGGGAATAACCCCAAGTTTGAAGACTCTTCTTGAGGATGATACACTCAGCAAGGTTTGAAACATTACCATAACTGCTCTTGTTATTTAGTTTTCCTGTACTATTTATATGTTTATAACCTATTTCGATCGATCATGCTAAAAAACTTCAGGCTGGAGTTGGCATTGCCAATGATGCTGTGAAAGTTTTTAAAGATTATAATGTGTCTATCAAAGCAGTGAGCGAGATTTCGGATCTAGCTAATCAAAAGCTTGCTGGAGTTCCCCAAAAATGGGGTCTTGGGTCTCTAACTAAGGCGCTTGTATCAAAAGAGGTTGTTTATTTCTGTTTATGTTCAAGTATTTAAAAGATATTTGCAATTTTCAAATCAAAGTCTCATGGTAACCAAAATTACTGAACTTTGTAGCTTCAAAAGCCCAACAAAATCAGACTTGGAAACTGGGAGGTCGCTGTGCTATCAAAGCAGCAACTGCAGTATGCTGCCACAGACGCATTTGCTTCTTGGTACTTACATGAGGTATTATCAAATGGCCCTTTCTCTCTTCATGTGGTAATTGTTGCTTTAAGATCTCATTCATAAACAGAGGATTTCATCATTATAATAATTTCGACCTTTAACAATATTCACAGATCTTAAAAGGATTTCCACATGCTCAAAAAGTAGAAGATTCAGAGAGAGATATGGAGCCAATCGCGTGATGCCAGTTCGCCACACAGCTAAGTTATTCAATTAGTCTAATTAATCTTATTGTTGAAATTGTTTCTTATCTTAAGAAACTATATCGGTCTAGTTAATCTGCAGTTGATGTGCCATATCAAATAATGTTTTATTGATGAATGGAGAGTAGAAAATTATTGGTTAATGTCTAAAAATCTAAGAAAGACAAACAAGGACTAACTCCATGGTCCTCCCAATTTGATATTGTACCGYAAGTGTGTGRGTTAAGTTCTAATAGAGGTGGTTAGTCAATACCAATATTGTCTTGTGAATTGAATTTTCTTGAATTTTATGCCTTTAATCYCACTCTCTCGAGGGTAAGATTTTAAGTCTAAGATCAATTAATCTATGACCAGAAAATTAAAGGCATAAAGCACAAAGAAACACAAATAGAATATTCAAACTAATTTAATCAAGAGAACTAAATAATCAGTCCAWAAAATTCAATGACTACATCAATTCCTAAGATAAAAGTTTAGCGACTCATATTCAAAGTAAAACAACAAAATGCAAAAGAAAGTTTCATAACAAAATTAAAAAAAATAAAGGGAAAGGAGAGAAACTAAATTCGTTGTGTTGATTGATTGTCCTCGAGCCAATTTGCATGATCTTGAGTTTTGAAAATTCCTCCTTTGAGCTATCCAATGGTTTCATKGCCTTCTAAATTGGCAAAAAATGCAAAATGCTAAAAAAAACCTCTCTTAAATTCCTCCCCTAGTGGTGCAAACAAACTTTTATTTTTAATAAGAAAATTGTGATAGCTTCGGGACGTTATAAATGGGGTTGAAAGGCTACACACAGGGTTGAGATGCTATAAACAGCATCTTAATGCTATCTCCTTGGATAATGGGCGTAATTCTTGTTGGGTACTCCTCAATCACTTTGGCTTCAATTTTTCTCTCAATTTGATCTAATCATGTCCCGTTTCCTCTTGATACTTTATTTCAACATAATATGTCTTATGTGCTTAAATATAATAAGAAAACTAACAAAAAAATCTAATTATAATCTTCATGAAATATAGGTCACAGTGTGCTATCAGATATAGTTTCTAAACCTTTTTTTTCTTTAAATGATATAGTTTCTAAACCCTAGTATCTAGAGATACCTATAAAGATACATAAGTTTTAGCTAGCTCAGCACTTTCCTCCCATCACCCTTCAAAAAATCTATTTTGATTTCAAAGCATTTGTTCAAAGTTCCTTGGATTTTGTCTTTGGACAGTGGCCAAATAGCAATTGAAATATATTATCTTAATTATCATGGTTTGGCCTAGCGCTCAACAAAGTAAATTAGTTCAAATTACAGTAGCTACCTACATAGAATTTAATATCCTTAGTTACCTTAGYAATCAAATTGGTTGAGGTGGTGACACTCATGGATATCAAAAAGGAAAAGAAAAGAAATATATTAAAAGTATCGAAGATCGTAAAAGTTAAAAAAATTTGTAGAAGACTGCACCAAACTTAAGGTCAATTTTTGTGGTAGCCGTAGTTGTTATATGAGGTTTGTGGACTAAGAGATATAACCAGGATATTTAGAGGAGTTGAGAGATCTTAGGGTGGGATCGTGCTCGATCTCATGTTTTATTTTGGGCTTCGGTGTTCAAAGACTTTCGCAATTATTCTCTTGGTTTGATCTTAATTTGTGGAGCTCGTTCGTTTAGCCCTTTTGTTGTTTTTTTTTTAATATCTTTTTATATTCTTTCATTATCTTTAATGAAAGCTCGACTTTTCATGAAAAAAGAAAGAAAAAAAAAAGAACTTTCTTAGTTGAGTAGCATTGGAAAATAGATTATCCAAAGTGGAGAATCTACCCAAAGTAGGCAACAAGGGTCTGTGATGAATGCAACCTACAACTTATCTTAATCTATCTAAAAAGATGGTTTGTGTTCTCTCCCAAACAAAGGAATAGTCTCTATTGTTGGTTCAAATTATAGATCTTTTGATTTGTTGGACACTTTCTAAAGATCACTGGGAGTTAGAAGTTTCAAAATACACATTGTAATAAAGTGAATTAAAGTTTGTGGGCAAATTGTAAATTAATTAAATAAAAAGGATGAAAAAAAGGAGAAGGCGACTCGTGTGAGGTTAGTTTAGTAAATTGCGATACAGACTAGAGAAAGAGGGGGGGTGCCACATGTAAAAGCTGCAAAAATAGARTCCATGTGCTCAGGCAAGTGGTTTTCCCACCCTCGCGCCTCTCATGCTCGGGCTCACGCGCTAACTACACTGCGTGTTCTCCACTCGCCCTTATTTTCTTATTTTCTTTTTTTTTTCTTTTCTTTCCCATCCCTGAAGTTCTATGAATAAGTATTCATTTGAATAAGAATAACATAAGCGGATAGTGGGGATCGAACCCGCATTGTTAGCTTGGAAGGCTAGGGGTTATAGTCGATGTTGATTCATTATTTTTAACGTTTCTAATTCAAAACCAAACGTGAGTATAAATATTTTAACCAATTGAACTACATTTAAATCAAAATTTTCTCTCTTCTTTCATATACACAATTGTGGTAGAAGAAAATTATATATCAATCAATTGAGCAAAATCAGCTTTATTTTAGTTGAAATTCATACGTAATAAAACAGGAACCAAATATAAAAATTGATTTGAATATTTTGAGTTAGGATAATTTAATGGTACTTAGTTTTCTACACTCATTACGATATTTAGCTTTTACATAAGTTGTTGGTTTGAATCTTAACTCAATCGTGTAAATATAGTTGTTCATTTTTCTTTTTTTCATAATCGTAATTTTTTGTTCTGAGAGTTTTCAGAATACAAATACATGTGAGTTAAAAATTAAAATATAAATTTGCATCATGTCATGATTAGATAATCAATATAATATCTTTCTATGGGTTATATTTTATTTAAGAGGCAATGTACTAAAAACGAAATAGTAATAATTTAAGAACAATATTTTAAATACAGCATAAAGTTTAAAATTTTAGAAAATAGTTAATTCAAATCTAAATGTAATGCATTACCTTATTTTTTTTAGTTATGTTAGGTTTAAAAAAGATGTAGACTACATATTAATTTTATATTATAAGTGATCAAATCGAGTATAGTTCAAGTGGTTGAGACACCTGTCTCTGATCAAAAAGGTCATGAGTTTGAATTTCCGCCACACATGTTGTACTAAAAAAAATTATAGTATTAGTGTTTTCTCTCCATTTAATTATCATGAGTTCGAATTACTAAGAATTCAAAAGTCCTAAATTATTTCGATTTTTCATAAAAGTTTTTATTGGGATTTTGACAAATGGAAGGCAAAGATAGAGAGTGGTGAAGTTGAGCACACCAATGGGGGCGTCATGAGACAGCCCACAGACACTCCATTTCTGCGCGTCTTTCTTCTGTCAGATTTTTCAGTCCCCAATTTTCTCTCGCGATTCTTCGCAGCGCCATTTTGGCTTTCTTCTTCTTCTTTTTCTTCTCTGCTTCTTTTCAGCAGCGACGGGCGATGGCTTCCATTTTCTCTCTTTCTACAGTCTCCATCCCGGAAGCAGAGGAAAACTCTAGAACCCCACGGACTTCTCCATCTGCGCGAAGACTGGAGTGATTTCCGATGTTCATATGCCCAATTGTTTGAATTTGCTCGTGGATCGAGAGTGGACTTGTTAAATGTCTTCTGCTGACGGATCTTTTGCTGATGCGACGCCCACTTTGTAGCGGATAAGGGATTCCGTTCTGTTTTCATCGTCACTTTCTCCCTCTGCCATTTTCGATTCTCATTGTTGTTTTTGCCTAAGTTCGATCGAACAATTCGTTACTGTTGGGTTCATTGATTCGATTCTGTCTAATTGCAGCGATACCCATTGAGGCATTTGATTCTAATTGTTCCTTATTATTTGGTCCCTTTTGATCCAGAGTGCATAAACTGAACTGTGATCGTGGTTTTACTAGGAAGTGACATCGAGGATTTGAAACTACTGAGGTTTAAATTCCCACTTCAATCCTTGACTGCATAATGTAAAAACGATGGTGGGCATTGATGTTAAGGAAATGGAAGATTACAGCACTGTATGGTAGTCGTACGCGTTGGCTGCAATCGATCAAAACTTGAGTTGACTGATCTGTGGAACATAAATTATCTGGTGTTATTTGCGATTTATCTTCAGTATGGGATGATTTTCGCAATGGAATTTGAATTCAAGGAGGAACTGCTGGTTCTTTACTGGTTAAGAACACTACATAGAAAACCGGGTTATTGTGATCCACTTTTCTTATTGAAGAAGCCATTTGGGTTGACATGGCCTTGTGAATTGCATGCCAAGGAAGCTAAATAAGTTCAGAGATTTCATTAGTTTGACTGAATTATAGTTAGTTTAGCATTGTTTCTGTAAATTCTCCTTCTGTGCAAAGGCTCATTCCTATGTTTCTATAAGAATTTGAGTAATATCTTCTGCTGAAGGGGAGAAAATTTATGTGGTAGGTGCTTAGAAACCGAGTTTCCTGGGGTCAATTTTAAAGCTCTAGAAGAAACATAGATGTTGAAAACAGATACAGGGACATGGTGCATTGGAGGGAACAAACTTACTTCATTCCCAACAAGGAACAGTGAAGTAATTCGAGAATTCTTATTTCTCAAAGGTGGTTTTCATTCTTTGTCCATACGATGTCGCGTTGCTTTCCATTCCCACCACCTGGATATGAAAAGAAGGCTAGGATAGAGGATGTGGACCTACCCAAAAAGGTTGAGCAAAATTCCCTTGAGATTTTACAAAAGCATGATTGTGTAGTCTCATCATAGTCATGGTACAGAAAAATAAGCATGTTTTCTGGTTTTGCATTGAAGAATTTGTTCTTCATGAGATTTATGTGTAGACTTTTTGAACCGATCGTTTGGCAACTTTCTTGACTTGCTCTTTACAATTTGCTAATCATCACATCACTAGAATGAAAGTGACTATACTTGCATATTTTTCTTTGGTAATTGAATGGTTTCTTGATGGGTTTGACTGGTTTCTTTCTGGGTTTGCTAGCACATAAAATCGACGAGCACCTTTTCGACGAAATTTTTTTCCCTCATTCAAAGTTTTCACTATCTTACTTTTGTTTGTCTTACCATGAATTTGTGAAAATAAGACATTAGAGGTTTTTGACATGATATATTGGCAGTTGATCATTTATGTATGCATGTTCTTTTTATGGGGATTGATTGATTCTTTTGACAACAAGGATCAGCATAAAAAGAAGAGGAAAAAGGAGAAGAGGGATCAAAAAGAAAAGAGGAAGAGCAGGAACAGAGATAAAAGGGACAAGGAGAAAGACAGAGTCAAAACCAAAACTAGAACCTCCGATGAAGCAAAACTTCCAGATAAAACCAATCGCCACAATCGACATTTCCTCGTTCAGAAAGATCGGAAAGACAGGGACAACTACGTTTTAACTGAGAACAAATATGCTGGGCAATCTGCTGGTTATACCGAAGGGCAGTCTAATTATAGCAGTCATCTGTCTGACAAATCTAGGGCCTTCAAATTTGTGCCAGAGTTGGGAAGGAGGATTAAGGACAGTGAGGGCGGATCTAGGAACCTTTTGGGGGAGAAGTTGTCTGTTTATCTTCCACAGAGAGATGATTGGGTGGGTAGACTAGTGGCTAAGGTCACTCAAAATTTCGATGAAGGGAAGACGAAGGACGAGAATAAGGAAAGTGGTGAGGATAAATATAGTGGTCGAGAAATACGGGAGGAGTCGAAGTTTAGTAGGTTGGAAACTATTCGACCTGTGGATCAAGATGGGGTGAATTCAGTGGAGAAGAATGCTGATGCAAGAACTGAAGGAAAGAGGAGCAGGGAGAAACAGAAGGACAAGGATAGGCAAGAAGGAAAAGGTAAAAACAAGAGAAAGACGGAGAAACCTGAACAGAAGATTGGAAGCCTGGAAAAATCGAAAGGATGCAACGAAGACGACGTAACGAGTTCCGATTCTATAATTACATCGCAACTTCTTAGGGACAGCCATAAACCTGTTGCTAGAATGGGAAGTCTCGTGAAGAGGAAGGACTTTGAAACCAATGGGATCTTGCTTGGTGAGTTGAATGTTGATGCTGAGACATTATATTTGCCTATTTGTTGTTTTCAAATTAGATCCATTGGAACTTTCCTCTTAGAACTGTCTTCTCTCTTGGGATTACTTGTCTTGAAGATCTGAAATCATAATTTCTTATGAATCATTATTGAAGTGTGTTGTTAATTGTTATTATACATTTTTAGCAATGGTTCTTTTTGGCATGAGAATTTGGTAGTTTTCTGTTAATCATGCACCTGACTGTTAAATCTTTTCTTACTTTTTTGATTTTTCACAGCCAAGGATCATAAATCCATCAACTCTTCAAAGTTCCTATCCTCCTCTGATCTGCCTAGAGAAAACCACAGGATGTTAAAACCATGCCAATCTTCAGTAGCAGCTGCTTCAAATTGTCAGGTAACAGCCAATACCAATGGCCTTAAATTCGACGGTAAAGAACGCGAATCGAACGACAATGCTATTGAAATTCCCCCAGCTCTTTCATCTGCTGAATCTAACCAGCTGATCAAATTGTCAAAGGTACACCCAAAGCCACCACATCCAGATTTAGAGCATCTAAGCCAGGTGTATTGGGTTCCCAAAATGGAGGAATGGTCAGATTTTTGTGACCAAGACTGGCTATATAGTAGCAATGCTTCCAACTTGAAGAAGCTGAAAGTTCACGGTTTCGAGATGGGGACGACGACGCCACATGTATGGGCAGAGGCAGTGCAGATAGACTCGATCAATATCTGCGCTTTACCGTATGTCGTTCCATATTGAAATTTCCAAATAGGTTCGATTACTGGGTTTTACAGTTCTTTTGGTGCAATCCTTCATCTGCACTCAGCTCAGGATGTCTAACATGATCGACCGATATCGGCACGCTAATTTTTCCCATCGTGGCAGGCCAGGATAAATGAATTTCCATGTAAACTGCAACCCCATGAGGTCAAGTAGAAGTGAAAATGCAAAAGCTTGTTGTGCAATCCCATTTCATTTTTAAAGGGATGGTAGATATGTAAGCACATAACTATTTGATAGATTTATGAGATGAAAGGTATAGAATTTAGTCATATTTATTTATTTACTATACATCTTGCATATTTCTTTTTATCTAAAAAATGAAGTTTTCTCCACCATTCCCTTATATTTAAGGTCAGTTCACTGTCCAATGGAGCTTAAAATAAATTTGAACTTTTAGATCGGTTCAAGAATTTTCCTGAATTAAATTTAGGTTGATTCGATAAATTTTGGTTCAACTGAATCAACCTGAACTTATTAAGAAAACTATTTATTTTCCCCACCATAAAATTCTATATTGATATATTTATTTTAATTTTGTTTCATTCAATAATTTTATGAATTGTTTATTCTCCAACAAAATTTTAAAATAAATATTAGTTATCTGAAACGTGATTCAATGGTAAAAAATATGTAACTAAATGTTTATTGATATAGCATTTATTATTATTATTATTATTATTATTTATTATACAATATTATAAACGAGTTCCGTCATTTCACGATTGAGTTGGGTTGGATCGAGTTCATTATTTAATAAAAATTATTTGGTTGAATAAATTTACCACTCAAACAATTAGATTTAGTCTAAAAGGTATTTTAACCCTATCCAATTCAACTCTTGACTATATAACTAAATAATATTAAAGTTTTTTTTTTAAGATTCGTGATTTTTAATGAAAATATTAATTGTAATTATTCTAAAAATCAAATAATTTATAAGAATAAACTCAGAAAAAGCCAATATAACTTTCAATTTGGAAAAAAAAAATATAGACTGTCACTTATGTGACGTTTGATACAATTTTATTAGTAAGAAAATGTTCGTTAAAAGAAAAAGAAAAGAGTGTACTAAAAATAATAATAAATAAAAAAATAAAAATCGAAATAGTTATAAAAAAAAGACATAATACTTCGATTTTACTTTTGACCTGTGCCATAACCAAAATGGCTCACACCAAATAGATTATTCACTACACAACGGATTTTGTTTCCACACCTTCCAACTCCAACG